CCAGAAAGGCCCGTCCCTCCCCACAGGGGCCCGTCCCTCTGTTAGAATTAAGGAGCTAGGTGAACTTAGGAGCTAGAATTACTCAAAATAGAAATCCAAAATTCTGGACTGAAAAGTCGTCTCCACAAGAAACGTTGTCGACAAAAAACTAGCCGTTGGAATGTCTCAAAGCTCAGTTATGTTATAGCTCATAAGCTTAGCTACCTTTTCCAATTTGAATCTTGTTGATTGATGGAGTATTCGCGACGCTATGTCTTTTGACGCATGGAGGGGTAAGCTGTAGGAGAAGAACTTAACTCAATCTCAAACTTCAATCAAGGTTCAAGAATCTCACAAGGAATTAGAGGAGCAAGATAAAGGTTGGAAGGGAAGAGAGGGATGAGAGGGAAGGTCCCAAGAGAGTCCCCAACCAAGGAAGCCCCATAAGCACAAAGATTCCCTCCCTATAGGAACCCCAACTTTGACATTTGTCCCTTCCCAACCAATCCAACTACTGTAAGTTGGCCACCCTTGCCAACCTAGCTTGGTTGTTCCCAACCAATTTGCAGCTGCTACAGTGGAGTGACGAATTTCCCCAACCCCTAATGGTCCCAACTCCATGTAGAGTCACCCCACAACTTCACTTTGCAACCGCCGCAAATGTAACTCAAGCTCATGAACTTTGAATCTTCATAGCTTTTGCGTTCTTGCTCCGATTGAAGCGATTTTTGTCGCGTCGGAAAGATCTCAAGATCTATCATCACAAATACCTGCTCAATCAAAATAACACAAAACACATTCCCAAACTCCAGAACACACCACGCATAAATGCTTGCACACATGCACACCACACATGCAGGTTGAAAACATGGGATGGGAGGTAGACAGAATGTGATGGTATATGATGACATCACCCAACACCCTCCCCACTGGGGCCCGTCCCTCCCCATAGTGGCCCTACCCTCCCCAGAGGGGCCCGTCCCTCCCCACAGTGGCTCGTCCCTAACCACAGTGGCTAGTCCCTCCCCATAAGGGCCCGTCCCTCCCCACAGGGGCCCGTTCCTCCCTACAGTGGCCCGCCCCTCCCAACAGTGGCCCGTCCCTCCCCCCAGGGGCCCGTCCCTCCCCAGAGTGGTCGATTTCTCCCTAGAGTGGCCCGTCCCACCCCACACTAGCCCGTCCCTCCCTATAGGGGCCCGTCCCTCCCCACAGTGGCCCCTTCCTCCCCACAGTGGCCAGTCCCTCCCCACAGGGGCCCGTCCATCCACACAGGGGCCCGCCCCTTCCAACAGTGGCCCGTCCCTCCCCACAGGGGCCCGTCCCTCCCCACAGGGGCCCGTCCCTCTCCACTGTGGCCCGTCCTTCCCCACCCCACAGTGTCCCGTCCCTCCCCACAGTGGCCCGTCCCTCCCCACCCCACAGCGGCCCGTCCCTCCCCACCCCACAGCGGCGCGTCCCTCCTCATAGTGGCCCATGTATGGGGCAGCGTGCTTCATTTCATATGGGTGCAATACATGGTTCTTATCCAACATAACTACACACACAATAAGGTGGGGAAATTGAACTAGAGAAACTAGAAATAAAGAACATGGTTGCGGCCGAATGGCCTCATGTCCCTCTTTTGTAGGCAAAAGAGGGTGAGTAGCACTTTGACGCGGCCTTTGCTGCATTGGCCCCCGCAATTTCACAATACACATTTTGAGAAAGCGTTACATGCTTATAAAGATATTACATATTGTGAAAGCTTGCGTAGATCCTCTTGTAAAGGTGTGCTCATTAGCTTTGGGTATTCTGAGACATGTGCAAAAGGGGTCGGCGGTGTCTTTCGATAGAGAGCTGGTGCTGATAAGGTGCAAGGGTGCAGGAGTGGCGGCTGCATTTTGGAGTTGCGTGGAGGCTTGGAGCAGTTGGTCCTGCGCGATAGTAACATAGAGCTCCTTGGCGTTGTCGCAGCACCAGTGGCCGAGTCGCTTGAAGAGCCGGTCAGATATGCCCAAGCTGGCTGCCGCAGTCGCAGCGCCTTTGCGGAAGGAGTGGGTGCAGAGATGCGCGCACTCGAGGCCTGCCCTAGTGAAGGCTTCGAAGGCACTTGTTCCGAACGGTGGTGTACGAAGGAGCTCTATCTCATGGGGTTGCCTTGATTGTACCTCTGAAGACTCGGATCAACGGCCCGTCTAGGGTGGTGATATGTCATGCAAGGAGAAGAAAATGGCGTGTGCAGCGCACCGGACAGTAAGGTCCCTAAGTGGTGGCGACCGAGATCCACGTGCCCCTGCTTTCCTGGTTGGTCTTGGAGTGCGCGATCAGCAGCCACATTGCCTCGGGCTCGAATTGTATGTCGTTCCATTGGAGGCTGACTAGATCAGAATAGCGAAGGAACGCTGTGAACATGAGAATAGGGATGAGCCCTTTCTGATACTCGGCAGGCCAGGTGGACTTGAGGATGGGCTGAGCCATGGTATGCACATGGTGGAGCGACAGGGGTTCCTTGGTCTGGGTGGGGCGCGGGCCATGACGTTTGGCGAATTCACGCACTTGTAGCGTGAAGGGACCGTTTGTAGGAGAGGGCTCACTGGTCATCCGATGTGCAAATGCGATAGCGGAGCATGTGAGTGATATGGCGGATGATGTGGCCTAGTGATTTAGTGCATGAACGAGGTAGAGTGCCAAGGTCATGTCTGTTGCGGACAGGTGACTCAATTCACTTCCGTGCAGAAGTTGCAAAATTAGAGCCAGTATGGTTTGTAAGTTTGAATGGTGGAAGGGGCGTAGACATGAGCGATTGCATGCAGAATCTGCATTTGCAGCTTCGACAAGATGCCTGGAAAAAAAAAAAAACATGCATATATTACAGGATTTTTTTCTAAACGATACATGCAATGCAATCATTTGGCTATGAGGAATTCCTTGACCAGCAAAAGCAAGCGATTGCATGCCCGAGTGGAGGCATTGGCTGCCGTGGGTGAGGGGGATGTGTGTCGTCACTTCTGGCGCCCAGGCGTCGGGTGTTGGTCGGAGCAGTGGCCACCATGATGCTCCCGGCCACTCCGGGAGGATTAAGGTCAGCTCAGCGTGCGTGATTTGGGCATGCCGCAAGGTGGCTGGGATGAGTTTTGGGGGAGGGAACACGAAGCCGTGCTAGTGTTTCCAGCTGAACGAAAACGCGTCGAAATCTGTGGCCGTGGGGTGGGGAATCTTGGAGCAAAACCTTGTTAACTGAGCGTTGTGCTTATTTGCGAAGAGGTCGATGTAATGGTGGCCGAAGCGACGGTCCAAAAGCCAAACCAAGGGGTGTGGAGGGAGTAGTCATCGTGGTCTTGGATTTTGGAAAGCTCGTCGGCGTGCGCGTTCAACTCAATCGGGATCCATTCAATGGCAAGCCTTGTCCGATTCTCCAGGCAGAGATGAATGATTGCTTGGCATAGTAACGTGAGCGTGGGATGACGCGATCCACCCTTGCGCAATATGAATACCACTCCTTGATTGTCCACAAGAACCAGCACATGATGCTTAGGGATATGGGTGGCAACAGTTTTAAGTGCCCATAGGACTCCCTCGAGCTCCCTTTGAGTACTGGAGGTTGGCAGGAGTTCCTTGAGCATGCGAGCACTGGCTTCAAGGGCCATCCCAGGAAGTCGCATAAGGGTGGCACCCCAGTTGTGTGCACTTGCATCGACGTGAATGACTGCGTCAAACTGGTGGCTGAGATGGAATGGGGTTCCGTTGAATCATTCAAAGTGTCCCAGCCAAAGGCGCAGCTCTTGCACTGCTGCCATCGACAGTTGTGCCTTGTCGTGCCAAGATGTGGCTTCAGCAAGCAGGCGGAGAAGCTCATGACTGAAGGCACATGCCATGGCGCTCAACGCCAAGGCCATGAAGGACAGCATTTTAGTGGCTCTTGCAAGGGACTGGATGGGGACCGGTCGTCCCTCTTGCCCCTGGGTAATGAGGGCTTGAAGTGAGGCAAAGGGTTGTGCTCAACGTTCGAGTCCGACGGAGAGGGTGCCGTGGGCGGCGTTGATCCCAAGCCAAGGAAAGCTATTTGGCGCGAGGGGTGCAAATGCGACCTTTTTCCCTTGATGACAAAGCCCCCTGCCTTCAGGTCCAGTACGACTATTGCGCAAGTCGCACGCGCGTGTGACTGGGAATTGCAAAGGAATAGTAGGTCATCAACGTATGGAATGACCCGCACACCGCTTGCCCGCCATCGCTCTGCAAGTTGTTTGATCAGTTGTGTGAAGACGAATGGGGCTGTTGCGAGGCCAAATGGAAGCGATCGGAAAGAGTAGAAATTTCCTCCGAATTGGAACCCCAAGAACTTCCAGCAAAAGGGGTGGATCTCGACGAGATGATAGTAAGATTAAACGTCGGTAGAGAACATCCAGTCGCCTATGCGGATGAGCTCAGCGACCCGGTTCCGGCCTTCATACTTGAATTTTGGGATTTCGAGGTAGGTATTAACTTTGCGCAAGTCGAGTGGGGTGACGCACAGTAGAATTTCCTTCACGGGGATTCTAACGGCGGCGCCCGCGGTTATAAGATTGTGGACCACGCCGCGGGTGAAGTCCAAGGTGTGTGTGGACTGCCGCATGATTGCTATCCTCAAAGGCATGTGGCGCGGTGTTCTTCCAAGGTAGCCAATATCCTTTCACAATGATGGACATGATGAAGCTGCTGTCACACCATGAAAACCACATGTTCAGGGCGTGACGCAATCGACTATGCATGACTGTCACATCCTTGTCTGCAATAGCGTACTCATAGGGATCATGTCCATTGCGTAGCCATCCTTCGCCAATATCTGCGCAGCCAAGGGTCAGGTGGCAGGCAAAAATACATGTGTAGCTCAAGTAAGCTTAAACTGGTCGATCCCACTAGGCGTGGGAGGCATGGCTCCTCGTCATGCCTTCTTTCTTCATTGTTCATGCCTTTGTGCTCTCTCTTTCTAACTTTCACTCACTCGCTCTCTCTCTCTCTCTCTCTCTCTCTCTCTCTCTCTCTCTCTCTCTCTCTCTCTCTCTCTCTCTCTTTCTTTTTCATTCTCACTCTCTCTCTCTCTCACTCACTCACTCTCTCTCTCTCTCTCCCTCTCTCTCTCGCTCTCTCTCTCTCTCTCTCTCTCTCTCTCTCTCTCTCCTGCTCTCTCTCTCTCTCTCTCTCTCTCTCTCTCTCTCTCGATCTCTCTCTCTCTCTCTCTCGCTCTCTCTCACTCTCTCTCTCTCTCCCTATCTCTCTCTCTCTATCTCTCTCTCTCTCTCTCTCTCTCTCTCTCTCTCTCTCTCTCTCTCTCTCTCTCTCTCTCTCTCTCTCTCTCTCTATATCTCTCTCTCTCTCTCCATCTCTCTCTTGATCTCTCTCTCTCTCTCTCTCTCTCTCTCTCTCTCTCTCTCTCTCTCTCTCTCTCTCTCTCTCTCTCTCTCTCTCTCTCCCTTGCTCGTGTGCTCTCATTTTGGGTTGTCATTGATCCCTCTTCCCTTTGGTTGGTTGGGTGGAGGTAGCATGCATCATTTCGCGCAACGCTTTGGTGGGTGGGGGGATGGGGCCTTTTTTTTTTCTTCTTCTTCTTTTCTTTTTTGCCTGTTTGGTGGCGATTTGTTTTCAAGGGCCAGAGCCACCTCATATGGGGGGGTTGCTTGCAGCTTACGTCATACTTTCTTTGGCCACCTTGGCAAGACTCGTAATGCTTTGTAAGTCTTAATACCCAAATTTCCATGCATGGAATACCACAAGGTCCTAGGCCCATGTCCTTGTCTGCCCCTAGGGCTGCCCTAGTTTACTAGGTCATATGCCTTACTCTAAGGCTGGCCACCGGCCATGCACCCCCGGTGCAGCCCAATATGCCTTGTGTGTATTGGCTAAGGGCACCACCCCAACACCCCCCTCACACCACTGGTGAGGGGCCTTGTGCTCCTCCCCCGCCCATGGGGCTCGCGTTTGCCATGTGGCCTGGCTGGCCACAGCGGAAGCACACTCCCTTGGAGCGTGGCTGCTGGCACGTGAGAGGGGGGGAGCCTTTGAGGTCCGTTTCTCCGTCACGGCCGCCGGTACAACCACCATGGTGGTAGATGGCGTGTGCGCGCTTGAATGCCGCCACGTCGGCGACCGCGAGCTTGTTCCCCTTTCCCGCCGGCCGCCAGATCCGCAACCACCGCTCCTCACGTTTCATCTCTCTCTCCCGATATCTCGCTCTCCCGATATCTCGCTCTCCCGATTTCTCACCCTCCCAACATCGACCCCTCTCTATCACTCTCCCTATATCTCTGGTGGTACCTTCAACTCGGTTGACACCGCCTCTCAATGATCGTGCAAGGATACATAACATAACCCACTATCACCAAAGGGTGCATCGAGTGGTGCAGTCTGCCGCCCCACTTCTCTGTATGCTCCCTGGCTCGCGGTCCTTAACTTGCCGCTTTCATGCAATTTGCAGCATCATGCTCCCCTCCGCGTTTCTCGCTCTCCCACTCCCCCTGCCCCCTTCCAACACACACATACGCTGTCCACTATTTCCTTCCCCACCAGATGCCTTATCAGATTCCTCCAACCCGCACGTTTCATCCTCCGCCCCGCCCACCACACTCTGTATTGCGTGCCCCCACGACTGCGTATCCGATCGACCGCTGGTGTACCCGAACGGGGTCTCTCTCTCTTCCACCCTCGTGATCTTTCTCATTTTCACTCGGGATATCTCTTTCTTATACTCCCGGGATGTCTAATATGAACTCTTGTTGATATGTCTTACCCCCATTCTCTGTCACTCTATCGCTCTCGGGATCTCTCTCATAGGGATCTCCCTTGACGGGATCTCCCATCAAGGGTCGACTCACCGACTAAACTCCCTCACAATCTAAACCCGCGGTTCCATCTAAAACGACCGCTTGCATTCAGCAGGTCGTCGCCGTTACTCTCCAACTGTCTTGCATCCTTCTTCCCACAACTCCCTGTGCTTCAGTCAGTTACCATCAATGTCTATCTATTGGTTACATCCTTCCCGACACCCGCCATCCCTCCTAACCCCACTGCTCCACCCTCCCTCTGCCGCGGCCGGTATGTCTGCCAGCCTCTTCCTGTCTCCCTGCCACCCCCTCATCCCTCCCTCTCCATCCCGTTCCCTCCACCCATCACACATGTCAGAGCCTGTGATAGACCATAGCCCTCCCCGCCTGGGCACCACTTAATATCGCCATATCCGCTCCTACCGATCCGCACGTGTCCATCTCAGCACGGACGACGGTGTACCACAACGGGGATTTTGACTGCTCGGTGTCCAGCGTCTACTTGGTGGTAAGCACCCCTCACCCTCACTCTCTCTTAACTTTATCTCTCTATCATGCTCCAACTATTGGGCTCGCTCTCTCTCTCTCTCTCTCTCTCTCTCTCTCTCTCTCTCTCTCTCTCTCTCTCTCTCTCTAACAATCTCTCTCTCTCTCTCTCTCTCCCTCTCTCTCTCTCTCTTGCTCTCCCTCTCTCTCTCTCTCTCTCTCTCTCTCTCTCTCTCTCTCTCTCTCTCTCTCTCTCTCTCTCTCTCTCTCTCTCTCTCTCTCTCTTTCTCTCTCTCTCTCTCTCTCTCTCTCTCTCTCTCTCTCTCTCTCTCTCTCTCTCTCTTTCTCTCTCTCCCTCTCGCTCTCGCTCCCCAACAATCTGTCTCTCTCTCTCACTATCGGGATCTCTCTCACTATCACGATCGCTCTCACTATCGGGATCTCTCTCATTATCGGGTTCTCTCTCACTATCAGGATCTCTCTCACTATCACGATCGCTCTCACTATCGGGATCTCTCTCATTATCGGGTTCTCTCTCACTATCGGGATGTCACACTATCGTGGTCTATCACTATCAGGATCTGTCACTATCGGGATCTCTAACTATCAGGATCTCTCTCACTCTCGGGATCTCTCTCACTATCGGGATCTCTCTCACTATCAGGATCTCTCTCATTGTCGGGATCTCTCCCACTATCGGGATCACTCACTAACGGGATCTCTCACTATGGATCTCTCACTATGGATCTATCACTATTGGGATCTCTCACTATGGATCTCTCACTTTCGGGATCTCTCATAATGGATCTCTCACTTTCGGGATCCCTCACTATGGATCCCTCACTATCGGGATCTCGGAGTATGCACCCCTCCACCTGGCTCTACCTCCCCCCCTGCCTGCGAACAATCTCAGCTTATCACACTTTCCTTTGGCTGCAATCTGTACGGCATATCCCCTCCAGTCCCTGACCCTCTGTTAAAACGCGCATCCCCCTCAGCAGCCGGTCGCTCTGTCGTTCATGTTATACGCGTCTCTGCCCATCTCCTCTCTGCCTCTCCCTCCCCCCCACCATAATATGCAGCTGTACAGCTGATCTCGGTCGGCGGTGCACTCGTCTTCTGCCATAGTTGGCACTCTGACCTCTCCCCCCGAGCCTCCAACAACAGCCTGCCCCGCGGATCCTTTCCCCTGTATGCTCCCACCCCCTTAGCCTTCTCCCACGGCTGGCCAGTCTTTCCACCCTGCATTATCCACATTGTTGAGAATAGCCCTGATCCTGCGAAAGTTGCAGAAGTCTGCTGAAGCGGCATATCAACGAAGTCTGCGGACACGGGCCCTGCAGAAAGGCCCATCAACGAAGAGCAGATTTGTTGACAAGGCGAGGCTCTGCGGGAAATGGCAGAGGAGCAGTTTTCGTTGGTGGCAGAAAAGCGGTTCTGTCGTAGTGGCAGAACAAGAGCGCGTTTTCTGCATATGGCTTCTACATCGACAGTGCTTTTGTAGAAGCGGTCTCGGCAGAATCGAGAGTGTACAAGACCCTCTGCCGATTTGGCACCAGGGGTCATTCGCAGAAGGGTTGTCCTCTGCCGAAGTATCATGCAGAAGACATTTCTGCAGGTGACCCTTTCAGCAGAATCGACTCTCGGAAATGCGTTCCAACAGGACCTCGGGCAGAGTGGCGCAAGGACCTGTTCGCGCAGAATTGCGTTTTGCCGAAGTTCGGCAGAAAGGCAATTCGGCTATCTCTTCTGTTGTCGACCCCCTCGGCAAAAACAAAATTCGGCAGAAGCGCGGCAGAGAGTCATCTTGGACTTCGCTTCTGCGAGCGACCCCTTCGACAGAAAATCGGGGACTTAGTTTTTCTGATGAAGGCAACATTCCGAAATCGCGAGAAATTCGCGATTTTGTAAGTTAACTACAGAACCGTTCTGGACTGAAAATGGCAAAATCTACCTGCGACATTGAGAAATTGAACACGTGACGCACATTTCATAACTGCGGAATGACCCAGTTCTCGTGAATGACCCACTTCATCCCACCTATTGTACCCCCATCCTTCTCCCATTTGTGTGATGTGAAGCACTCTATTCCACGGCCCCTGCTTGCCATGATCTCACTCGTTGCCGCGCTCCGCCCATCCCACCCTGACCGCCTCTCTTCCGTCTGCCTTGTTCGGTGCACCCTTACACCCCACTGCTCATTCGTACAGAGGGTTGTTTTCTGTCATATCATGGCCTTGTTGGTTCAACATTTCAACTGTGTTGCCACCCATCCCATCCCTGTGTTCACGGTCATTTGTGGCAGGCCACCATGAATGTCTGTGGCCACTGCTCATATCACTACGTATCCGATACGCAACTTGTGAACCACCAGCGGGGCGTTCAATGTCGGGCCATTCAAGCAGTGAACGCGGCGCGTGGGCTGCGCTGGCCTAGCGTCATGGTGCAGCCGTATGAGGGGCTGCCACGCATGCTCCCTTCCCACGCCCCACCCCCCGCTGAAGACGTGGCGCCGACTGACGCGGTTCCTCACATCCCTGCTCCAGGGCCTTTGGATGGGAGGGCGGGTAGTGAGGCTATTTTTGCAGAGGTGTCAGAAATTGTAGAGGAGCCCTTAGACACAAAATTCGAGATCTTTAGGTTCTTGACTCAGTGCAACAGGGGGACGGGTCTTAGTAGCCACGATGTTGCTGAATTCCAGAGGCTTTTGAAGCATACGGGTTTTAAGACAACCGAACTGGCACATTGGTCGATCAAATCGGCCGTGGACCAATATGGTTTGGAGGTTTTGGGGGTGGAAAAGGCTTTGTTCGAGAAGGAAGAGATTTATGTTACCAGATGGCCAACTCCGTTCAAGCTCAAGTACCTGGATCCGCTGAAGGTACTGGAGGATGCTTGGCTCGACTCTGAGGTTGCGGGTTGAGTATGTAACATGTTTAGTTCTATTGTCATGCTCTTTGTACCATGCTGGAATTGGATTGTGTGTTTCAATTTCAACAACCCTTATATCATACATGCGCTCTTTTGTATGGGACAGGCGCTGGAGAGAATGTGGGCTGACCTTAAGAACAGGCCGGGTCTCGTTGTACGAGCGGCACCTTTGTTTGTGGATGGGGTGCGTCGCTACACTACTGCGGATACTGCCAACTTTTGGATTGAGGCTCAGGTACACATTCGAATCGGGGTCGTACGCGCATGCTACTTCAACCACCAAAGAACCTACACTTTTTCCCCGCTCCTTCATGTCCTCCTTGTACGTACTGTGCAGAGGGGCAAAGGAGAGGAGTGTGTTTGCTCGATACTCCTTGCCAGTGATGAGACGCAACTTAGCGGCAATGAGCGGTGCAAGGCGTGGCCGATGTATCTATCATGTTACAACATCGCAGAATGCCTTAGCTGGAAGGATCATGAGCGCGCATTCATCACCCTCATCCCACATCCTCACCATGACATGGAACACTGGCAAAAGACCGACCTCTTTCAAAAGTGTTGCGAATTCGTCATGCAATCCATGGATGCAGCCGCCAAAGAGTAAGTGGTTGTTGTGTGCGGCGTATTATTGGAAGCCTCTTGCAAATGTCCCCAAATGGATGCCGTGGCTGTGAGTACATGATACGCACAAGATGTGCTGACATGCAATTGTTCAACTAGTCCATCACCCTCTAACCCTTGTTTGCGGAGGTCCGTCGCCCTAACTGACCCAAGTGGCAACGTGTTCAATGAGTGGCCCAAGATCTTGTCGTACGTTGCCGATTATCCCGAGACGTGCAAGGTGACTTGCACGATGCAGGATGGCTCGTGGAAGCCCTGCTCATTGTGCTATGTTAACCAATTACTGTATCCTTGGATAATATGGATCCCAGGAACAACAATTAGCGAAGCGTGGATGTGCAGCAGACAGTGGCATCAAGCGATACGATAGTAGCCGAAAACCCACACATCAGATCAAGGTAAATATGGGGTATGTTGGAATTTGTGTATGTAGTCTTGTCCATGACGCATGCCAATGCCCCTCGTGTTACATGTCGCTCACACATGTGCCAAACACTCTCCACCCTGCGTGTACTAATACCCCTTGTCCACAGTGTTTTCTCTCGGACTTCGGTCTCAAATCGGATCGTCAATCCAAATGGGGAATCCGTTCAAGTGCCCCATGCTTGACATATTGCATGTGATCTTCCTTGGGATCTGGTTGTACATCCTTGAGTACATCGTCGCCACCAAGCGGAAAAATGTATCATAACCACAAGGATTTCTTGAAAGTGCTCACCGAGTAAGTTTGCACAACATCTTGGCCATTGTGTTCCTAACATTCTGGTCGTCTAACAAGTGTTTATGCAATGCTTCCCTATCACTGTTCCAGGAGGCACGGAACAGCGTATTGCGATGCGGTTGCCGCAGGCATTCGGCTCCCGGCGCCCGGCCGTTACTTTAGTGGCGGTGCAAACTACTCTGCGGCCGAGCACGCAGGCATGATGCAGGTATGGATCCCTTCTCTGTGTATCATGCATATCTTAGGTTAATGTAGTTGATATTGGCACACCCTCAATTCTCACCCCTTCAGCCATTCTCGGTGCAACGTTCTCTAGCATGCCTTGTCGTGACACCACCCTATATCCACCCGAATAGATGGCTGTTGTTTTCTGACATGCATTAAATACACAGCATTCCCATGGCTAAATCGCATATTGTTCCCCTCAAATGCCCCATGGCTGCCTTCCCATGCTCATTCCACAATGCCCGCAACCCACCATTCGTGCCACCACACCCAAGACCACATGCCAGCACACTCTCTTTGGCCTGACCAGTAGTAGACGTGCCTGGAACCCCCAGTCTGCCTCCCTAGCCTCCTCATTTGGCAGACCTATCGCCCGTTCGTTCATGTAACTACAAGCCCTCTCGCCCTAATCACTACCATCAATCACCTATTTTTCCCCTCTAATGCCGCATGGCTGCGTTCCCACACTCATTACACAATTTCATATGTGTGATCTAGTACTGTCACCGACCTTTGCTCACCCCTCCCCGAAGTTACTTCGCGAGCACACTCTTTTTGACCTGGCCAGCACTAGGAGCGCATGAAGTGTCCCACATGCGTCCGTTGACTCCTCGTTTGGCTGACCTATCCCCGACGCGTGCCTGTAGCTAGATGCCATATCGCTCTAATAACAATCCTTAAGTGCCCATTTGTTCCCTCTCTTGCCCCGTGGCTGCCTTCCCATACTCATTCCACAATGCCCCATGTGTGATCTAGTGATGTCACCTCCCCTTGACCCGCCCACCCTCATGGCAGACTATTATTTACATTGTCGAAGGTCTCCTCGAGCCCAATGAGATGCAGGTTCTCCGATTCTTCCTAAAGTGGTTCGACACCTACTTCTGTACGGATCACTATGACGAAGCCATGCTGCGCCAGTACGATACAGACACCGCACAGTACGTCCCTTGACAGTAGTAGCCATGACATATTGCACATAGCATACCTCTACCATGCTAAAGCACTTTCCATGGTCAGCCATTGCTGCGCACGCTGAGGGACATCCACAACATAAACACCTCGTCCGATGGTTGCCTCTTTCCAAATCCCTCCCTCCCTGCTCCTAACCTCCGTGTCTCACCCCCCCCCCCCCCCCCCCCCCCCAACTCCACCCTCCAGGCTAGTGCGGTTGCTGACGTGGCAGCTCCCACGTGGGGGGATGGGCTGGAAACTACTGAAAGTACACTTACACACTTTCCAGATGCCATCCGCCGCGCTGACCATCCACGAGAGTAAAGCACAAGCGTCTGGGAGCACGCTCACATGAGCACA